GGACCTCACAAGACACAATCCCACGAGCAGTTTGCCAAACAAAGTGCACGAAATTACCACAGGCCAGGTGTTTGGCAGAGCGTTTCGGATTCCCTACTGTTGGTATTGTGATGGCAATGTACATTGGGCGGTGGTGTGTGCAAGCACGTAGTTGCACACGGCGCCAATAACCAGCATCATTCGGAATGAAACCACGTTGGCCTGGTAATACATTGGGGGCCCCGGCTTAGCGACCCCCTGTGACAAGCCGGCTGAGGCCAAATCTAGATAGATTGCTACAGTCCCCCAGTATTTTAAATGCTTCAGCAGTAATAACACAGTTTAGCAATAGCTTGAGTTTTGCAAAGCATCCTGTTCGCATCCCCAAACACCACCAAATGTGCCCACCATTGCGTGTTTTGATTTTCTTTATCCTATACATATATGCTAGCATAAAGGGCACCCTAGAAGCTGGTGTAGGGAGTATCCAAAGCCGTTGGTGTAGAGGGTACCTTGGCCCCTGGTGTAGATGGTACACTAGCCACTGGGGTAGGCCCAATGGGCCCATACTGGCTTTTGGTGCCTGAGTTGTAGCGCCGAAGTCATGGGCGCTGGGGGGTGTCGCAATCAACTAAAGTACTACGGGAACGGTGGCCTGCGTTTCAGGAGGTCGCTGAATTTGGAAAGGTCGCTAAGCCGTAGCTACTAAACCGGGCCTCCCACTGTACATGGTTCGATCCCGGTTCAGTCATCCTCTTCACCATCCGTACGAACCCGGGCGAACATTGACGAAGCTTCGTCTTTTCCGCACATACGGCGCTCGGGCCGCGGACAACAAAACCCGCGCTCGCAGTGAAGCCCTGCGCGCAAAACCCTCATGGGCGGCAGGCGCCCCAGGCGCACGCCGCTGCGGCGCGCCGTGTACCAATCGGCGCTTATCCGATCCCACCGCTGAACCCCGTTTCCCCGATCGCGCCGGGGGCTGTGGCGCATCGCGGTTGAATCGATCAGGTAATGATCGCGCTGCTTTGGGGAACGTGGCGCAGGGTTTGGCGCTTCAGGCCAGTTTTTCTTAAGAGGGTGCTGATCTCCACATGCCGTGCCCTCGCTGCTCGCTCGCTGGTGGAAAATGTCATGGTTGGGTCATCGCGCCCGTGGTTTCGGTCTTTGGCAGGTTGGCGGGCAATGAGCGCGCCGGGGTCGGAAACGGGGCTCGAGATGGTGCAGGCGCGACTGGAAGGTGATCGGCAGCGTGCTTTGAAGTCAGCTGGCCTTGGGGGATGTCTGTTTTTGGGCAGTCTTGGGACCACGACAGCTGTTCGCCGCATTCTCTGCCGTGCGATGATGTTGTATGGATTTGCGTGTCCACATGCACTGCGTGGAAGAGGGTGTGTGGAAGGGCATGGTACACCACGAGGAAGGGGGGGTAGGGGGGGGGCTGTGCATTGTTTGTGACTTGTGGGGAGAAGGACAATCGCCGCGTCCGGCGCGCGGTCAGCGGGAGACATGGGCGCAGGGCTGCAATCGGCATGAGTGTGGCAAGGGTTGTCCATGGTCGTCCCCTCGCCCGATGGTGAATTGTTGTGATGGCCCCACACGGGCTCTCGTTCTCAAAGACCCAAGCGGCGAAGTTCACACTGTTCTGATAAACGCCCCTGCCTTTGTGCAAAGGCGCGCCCCACAATGTTCCAGAGGCAGTCGCAGAGGTGGAGGGTTCAAGGTGAGGTTTCAGTCTCCGCAACTCAGACACGTCGAGGCAGTCTAACGGCTCGTGTTCTGGAGGATGGGTCCTAGGTACAGCAATCTTCCTGCCTGTGCTTGCCTGGCAGCTGTGGGCTGTGGACAAACCCAAACAAAACATCCTACGCCAGCATATCGCTGCTGGATTTGATATGGAGACCTCCAGAGAGCTGTTGCATGACCATTGGCAACTTTCCAGGGTGCTACCATTGACAAAAACATGACAGGCACCACACTATCAGGCGGATGCCAGACAAGGGATTTGAGAGTTTGCATGATGTTGTGCAACGTGAAAAATAGAGTGGTAGAATGTGTTGCTCAGGGAGAGGTGTCAATTGTTTGACACACCAGTCATCTTTCACTACGTTTGTGATGTGACAATGACAGACCCATTCACCAAATTGGCGGTGATGGGTAGTAATAGCGCAGTATATGTATTAATAACGCATTATATATATGTTTAATAATGCATAAGGGTTCATTTTCGCATTGCTATTGTTTGGAATCACTTGCAACCAGCTCCACCTGCTGCTGGTTGGTGGAAAACGGTGGAAAAGTAAAAGAAGAAGAAGAAACAGATGAAGAACCTTTCTTGTTCCAATCAGAGTATAAGGTTGTTGACTGCGTGCCTGGCCCAAATGGCATGGAGAAGTTCTCAAAACCAGATCATTGAGTCCATGAATCCACCCCCATATACCGATAGCTCCTGCCTGTGTGCAGATGGCTCGGGTCGGCCACTTGGGCGACTGACATTGCCAAAGTCGCACCTGAAAAAAAAGTGCCAGACTCCCGATTGCCTCCTTTGTTGGAACTCCAAAAATCCTCGCCTCACGTTCCTCCAGGTAAAGTGGGCACTCAGCCGTTGTGGTTGCTGCATTCCCAGGCCGAGACCAGCACCTGGGGACCAATTCCCACCAAGTGCCCCACCACATGTTGCAGCCCAGGGGCCACCAGGGGAGGTTGGTGACACCAAGGGGGCCACCAATGAAGGCAGCATCGAGATCGACATGAACGAGGAGATGTGCACTGGTGCGGGCAATTGACTTTTGGGCTTGGCAACATATCTTGCAGCCGTATTGCATATTCCCAGCACGTGTTATATGCGAATCCACAGCCCATGTGTTGGGCATTCGCAGCATTTTCTCAAATAATGTCCTGTGTAGGGGAAGGCAGCCTGCTTTCTGGGTGTCGAAACCCACTTTCAACCTTCAGCATGGTTTTTTGGGGTGGGGAGTGGGGGGTGGGCGGTATTTGTAAAGTTTTGTTTCAGAGGTAAGGGTCCATGCACATGGAAATAGGTTGTGCTGCAAGTATACAGAAAGGCTTCATTTCAGGAAATGGGCTGCCAGTGCTTCAAAAAGCTGTACATGCAAATTGGGAAGGAACCATGTGCAAGTATGCTTGATGAACTGTGGAATACAAATGCTTAAAATTGGGGCTGTACAAGGGTCCATTGAGTAATCGGTATTAAACTACACTGGGAACTTCACATTTCGTAGAATACTGGGCAGATGCAGTGAGTGGAGAGTGCTTGCACTCTCTATGCCATCCACTAGGGGCACATGTGCTTGGATTGGCCTTTTTTGTGGCCAGTTGTGATACCTGCATCACCAGAAGTGGCCAACTGGCCACAATCACACCAACTACATGGCAGTGAACGTAAATTGTTGCATAGAGAAAGTTAGGAAAAGAATTATAGCACAGAAGCTGGTACAGAGCAAAAATGTCTGTGAGGACAAGTGCTGGACTCAACGGACACAGATTTCGGCTGACTGACCATCCAGACCAACTAACAGGTGGGGTCAGTACCAAGGCACTTGGCGTTAGCAGAGTGATGCATCTGAAGGGTTCCAGCAAAAATGGTTGATGCGAGCAAGCAAATCTTTGCAAGTTCCTCATGTCAATAATCCGCATTGCTTTAGACCTTTGTGCCAAACAATGGACACATTGAAAGTGGAATGCTGTGCTGCCAGGAGTGCAAAACGAAACATTTTTCGCAGGGAATGATCGCCATGCATCTGCGGAACTTAGACAAATGGGCATGTCCTGCATCGACAGTCCATTCTTATCCAGCGATCGCCTTGGCGCGAAGTTACCAATCCATGGCCTTCCCTGCAGGGAGGCATGCCAATGCGATCGTTGTCTTCGTTGCACACCAGTTCCGCAAGGAATCTTGCGCAGACAGTCTCCCATAACTGGATCGTGCTTCTGCGCAGCATGGATGGACCAGGCAGGGAATGCAGGGTTAGCTGCTGTTGAGGACTGCTTTAAGCACGAGGTTTTGCTGGGTTAACAAAAATTCTACCAGTCCCCACCCCACATCAGGCCTGCAAACTGCACCAAAGAAGTACCAAGAAATGGAAATTGTGAGCAGTCGCATACTCGTAGTTTGAAGGAGAGATAATGCACTGCACAACCTCAACAAATGCCATACAATGTTGTCTATAGCTCACATGAGCACCGCCTTGTCAGGAAATGATTGCCTCACGTTGTCTATGGTGCAACTATGGTCCCAACACAGTTTCAAAGCTTGGAGGCAGCTGCCATAGAAGTTCTGCCTTCTGCAGATCGCACAGGGCTGAAGATCTGAGAGCCATCTCTTTTCACACTATTCAGGCATTTGGTTCAGATTGGTAGCTTGATATACAGTAAGCATGACCCACTTGAAGGTTGGCAGTGCAGTATTCTTTCCGAGCACTCGTTGTTCAAACACAGTCATCCAGCAAATTGATGTCAACAATGCGGTTAAATGTATGCTTCCATTCTCTTGTGGTGTACATGCAAGAACGCGATTTGGCAGTCCGCTTTCTTCTGCTAAAGCATGGCCAGAAAGGATGTTGAATGGTCAACTAGCCAACTGGCCACATGCTCACCGACCTTTGGGAAATGAAACAAAACATGATGCCTAGTTTCGCAGAATGGCAAAAGGATGTGTGGCACTGGAGATTTTGTGACAATGGAAAAAGACTTGGGCACTGGCACACGTCAAGAGTGCCAGACATTGCCACACACAAGTGAAAGCACAATAACTTGTCCTGCATTGATACATGTGTTCAATAAGGATTCAGGCTGCTCCCTCCTGATGTGCTGGAAGCGATTTGCAATCGCCAGGGCACAGCGAGGAGATGAGTCAATCCAGCGACGGCTTGCCCACGTGCCTCATCTGCCTTGAGCCTCTGCGACCTGAAGATTTCAAGAGTGGTGGGGCAATCACCCTCAAGTGTCAGTGCCAAGGGAACACGGCGCTCAGGCATCGCAGCTGCGCACAGGAATGGGCCAGAGTAAGGCTTCAAGACCACAGAATTGCATACTAGCATCATTAAGAAGCGTAGAGGATGAAGGTTCATCAAGGGTACAAGAGCCCCAAGAACATGACAGAAACCTGTAGACTCTAGAACTCCAACTGGCCTTCATGGTTGCGGCTCTGGCCATGGCTGGCAACTAGGATGCGAGCATTAAGGCACACCCAGCACTGTTCTGAAAATATGTGTATAAATTACCGGCTTGTGTCGAGACTGTGAAGGGCGCGGCGCTAATCAGGTACACGATCAAGAGGGCATGAATTCAAAGTCATTTTTCAATGTGGCATGCTGCTTTTATCCAATCATCTTGCTTTTCTGAACTGGCCCATACCCTTCCCTCCCAACTATCCATGCCACTTCCTTTCTCTGGTAAGCTTCGTCACCAGGCTTTGTTGAAGCTTGACGGAAAATCTTCAGACAGCCAGATCGCTTGGAAGAGCGTGCAATATGGAAACAGCATTATTTAAAACACATAAGTTATATCCTAGATCTTGAGGTAGGAGTCTGTGCCATATCTGTCACAATGCACAAGTGTAGTGTCAAGCTGGATCCATGCTGTAGCGTTATGCTGTTAATGGTGTGACGGAGTATGGGGATCGCTAGAAAGTGAGGAGCATAGATTCAGAACGTGATGGGTGCCTGCATCGAGCAGAGCACTGGAAAGCGCAAGGCTCAGCGGCGCCCTTATGTCTGAATTTTAATGGATTCGATTGGAAAAGACTTCCTGACCGAATTTTGCATCCCAAATTACGCCACTTGCTAATTGCTAGCGGGTATTGTCTGAATTGGGGCAAAGTTTCCTGCTAGTTCTCCCAAATGAAGTGTTTGGAACAAGCTTCTGTGCAACGCATGTGCACTGTCTATGTCACATGTACTCCTTATTTTGATTCGAACACAAACGTGGGCTTCGGACAAGGACTAGACGCATTGGTCAGTACACCATTCATGATCACAAAATTGTTCCCAGCTGAACTGCAGTTTCCCAGCAGGACAGCCCTATCTGTTTGTACTGTACAATGATGCAGGGCAGTTTGTAACTGTTGGCCAATTTAACGTACACTCCTAACTCAGCAGTGAGGAGTTTGACAGCGCTGCGATGTAAAGCCCGCACTGCTCAGAGAAGGGAAAACAGATTGCCAACGAGGTTGGAGAGAACCTAAGAAGAAGTTGATGGAACGCATCAATTTTCCTTCCTGGAAACTGCGAAGGTAGCGAAACGCATCTGATGGCGATTTGTATTGTTGCCCAGGTCAAGGGCGACGTCAACTGCGACATCTGCCACCATCCCATCACCAATCTGCCTGCGCTGCCGCCGCCGCCGCCACCCCCGCCGCGACCTGAAAACTCCACAAGCAGACCCTTAGAGCGGCTGCGGCAGACAGAGATGAAAGGACTCTGGTTCGCCGTACATTACCCCAGGACGACCTTGCTGCTCACTGTCTTCTTCGTCTTGCTGGCCAGCACGCTGTTCTGGGCTGAGATGGTGGCTTTGAACGGCTTCTTCGTGGGGCTGATAGTCCTTGTCGGATCCCCGACCATGGTGGCCTTGCTTCTCAGGGTGAGCCGTTGGGACTATGCCTCCCGCACAGGCACGCCGCCTTATGCCCAGTACATTTGAGGCTGAGCACACGGCCAAGCGGAAGCCAACGAGGCAAGGATGGCTGCTTGGATGTCTTGCCTAAATTTATGCGATGGGAAATGGACATTGACAAGGCCGTGGGGCTGACAGGTTGCTGAGTGTAGCAATCATGGAATCGGGCCCCGCTGACTAACCAGCTGATGAACGGAAACTGGTGGATGCAAATATGACCAAACTCGCAAGCTTCCAAACGGTGATGGGCACAGTTGCGCTCACAAGGTTTGTTCTGGAAGGGGGCCCAGGAAAAGAAAGAGGGGAACTTTGATTGTGGGACGCTACAGCTCTTCCCTATACTCTGTTGTGACCTTCTGCAGAAGGTTATATCTGATTGCCTGCAGCGGCTGACTTCCTTCCTGGGTGGTCATCGTCGCAGCTGCATGCATGGGTGTTCTCTTGTCGCTTCAATTTGTGTGGTTGGTTTTGCCAGCGCCAGCGGTCGCGTCCAGGCAGTTACGGGGATGAGGGTAATAGTGGCAGTGCTGTTGTGTTGTGCCTGGAGTGGAGACTGGCAAAATGAGATCGAGGTTGGGCCGTCGGGGCATTGCAACGGCCAATTGGCTAGTGCGTGTCAGACTAGATTCATGGCAATTTTCTGCATGTTCGTGTTGTAAAATTATTGTGAGGTTGTGCTTTTTGCATCTTCAACTACCGGCGCATTTGCTTGATGGAGGCTGTTTCTGTGGACTTTGCTCATGGGATGCTGATTCGGATGATGTCCGGCAAATACACTGCACTTGGTCGGAATGCGGACACATGGGAATTCGGTCAAGGGCTATTTCTGCCTTACTGGTCTCCTGTGCCCACCCCGTCATGTACCCCCATGACAATACTTACAAACAACCGTCAATGTCACATACCCGAGGCTCCCATCCATCAAGACTTGCCCAGTCACTCCATGGGAACTCGAGGCCCCTCCAGGGCAGAAAATGTGCCCAAACTGCTCATGCAGGTCGCGGGCAGTGATGGTCATCCATCCAAACAAACGGAAATCCCACCCCGTAGGCAAACAAAAAATATCGATGTACCACATCGTGTCGGACTTCCGTCCACCTCAATCCCAGATTCGCTGCTCCGCGACCTCCAAGGCGAAGCAGCTGGACGCACCCCCTCCACGCAGGCCGTGATGCATAAAAGGCTCCTGGGCGAGGTCTGGAAACTGTGCGATCAGGGCCGAGAACCAGGATGCCACGGTCTTGGACGAAGGGGTAGCCTCGCCGGGTAGGGGGTAGAAATGGCGCGGTGATAACGAAAACCGACGCTCATGGCAGCATCTCGAGGTCGTCTGACGGACGATGTCGACCTCCTATTCGCTCCTCCAGTGGCTGGCACGGTTGAGGACGGTCCAGAAACGGACACACAGCTCCCACAGCAACCCTGACAGGCTGCAAGCCCAGGTTGTACGTCAGGGCTGGATACGACATCCTTTGCCCTTTGCAGCATGACGCTACAAATCGCCATGCGATCAGGGTGTGTCTGTCGACTGAACGGTCAACGATAGCAAGGCAGCGAGCCTGTACTATCTTTAGAGACGAGGCCAGAAACACACAGAAAATCGCTTCTTACAAACCACAGCCCAGGCACAATGTTCGCCTGCGGTTGCCTTGGTCCACAGCAACAACGTTCTGGCCGGCCACCTAACAGCACGGCCACCGTTCTCATACCCTATCGCATCAAGCAATACAACCTTTCATTCTAGTACATTAAACCCTTTTTCTTTCCCACTTCAGGCTGAATCAGCCTTACATGAGTGCATGGTCATCTATAATGTCCCCTCACTGGCAGAACAATCGATCTTACAAACACTCACCACATGCCTTTGTAATTCACAACCCTTTTGAAAAGGCACTGACAGCCCTTGACATCCCCTTCACTTGTTCCTCACATAACCCCTTGCTAACCCCTCATGTCTTGTGGCCGACGGTCTCAACTTGATTAGTATTACCCCCAAAGTGCACAGCACCCCCATCTTCTAGTATTGCTCATTGACAGAACTGTACTTCACCCAGATTTCCCCTTTGCCAGTCGTGTTGCTTCACACCAGCTATTGTCGTATGCAGTGGGAGTCACTTCAGTACATTATACGACACTTAAACACGTCCAATCCCAGTCAGCAATATTTGAGACTCCCTGACGCCAAACTTGTACATGCCAGCACTCGTTCACGTCCAGCTCAGCCCGTCAGGATGCTTACTCAGCCCTTGTGGTCAGTCAGCACGCCTCCTGACCCACGGGCACCGTTGCTTGGCAAGCCCCGTTGCCTTAGTCCGCGAGCGGGGGTCTGGCATCGTCAACGTCTGGTTCTTCCCCCCCAGCCAGCCAGTCCCTCGCCAGAATGCATGCGTTCTCTTTGTTGATCCAAAGGTCAACCTCCTTGGCGCGCTTCTCATGCATCCGCCTTGCCCCCAAAGCTCCTCGAAGTCTTCCTTGACTTCGATATCACTGCGCACCTCCTCCAAAAGGTCGACCATCTCACACACTTCTTGAAGCTGTGTGCATTCAACTTCTGTCTCCCTGACCGTCGAACAGCGATGCATTTTGAAGTGTTCGACAACCACCTTGTCTTCAAGGTTCCTCTTCTTCTGGCACATCAACTTGTGCGCCCTCTGCAGCACCGACTGATTTTTGGTTGCTGCCTGATGCTCAAGGTTTCTTAGTCCGATTTCGAAGTTGTTGTTCACCCCCTCGAGAGTTTCCACAGCTATTCTGCGCGATTGTTCAGTGCGTTTGTTCAGCCTCCTCCGCGAAGTCTTCCCTTGAAACTCCTTCAGAAACATCAACTTTGTCCATGAGGTTTTCCTTCAGCATGGTCGCTGCCTTCCATATGGATCCACCACGGGCCAAGGCCCTCTCCCACTCATCCACTAGCGCATTGCACAGGTGGAACGCATCAACCCAAACTGGGTCGTATATCCTCCTGCCCTGTGGGTCATAAATGTATTCCTCGCCACCAAGGAGGTGCTTGCGCCGTGTCTTGAGGTTCTCAAGCTGAGCAACCTTCTCTTCCACCTCTAGCTGCGAGGGAAGGCCAAACGCCCTTCGTTGGATTCGGATACGTTCGCGTTCTGCCTGAATGGGGTCCTCCTCGGCCGGCATATTGCCCTTCGACTCAAGTTGAATGGTCGCACAGGTCAACGTTCATCTTCCCTGCACAAGGTTGACCTCGTACGCCCCCTATTTTATGTGACTGTACCCACTTGGAACGCTTCTGATGTGAAAAATCACCTACTATAATCTTTATGATAGATAGAGGCAAATGCACTGCCTCCCTTTACCCCTTGGACACTCCTTGTAGCCTTTTCCCTTTGGTCTCATCGTTTCCAGCAGTCCTAACAATGCCCTATATCTCAAGGACATTTTGTCACTGCCCAAAACCCCTAGATCCTTAAAGTCCAGTTCCTTTCCCTCTTTGTATAATATTTTTCCATCTGTTGACAATAGAAAGAATGAAAAAAGCATTCCATTCAATTCTTGTGCTCCCCTGAGCAGTTACATGCCTTTACCACCCAAAACCGATGAGCTTTGGGGGAGTTAGGCTCTTGGGATTGTGCACTGCAATTGCACAAGCTTCGGAGCTCCCTCGCAACCTCCCCCAAGCATCATCATCCTATCCCTCCTGTATGCCAGGCCCTCAGGACCCCCGCATGCCCCGGCGCCCCAGCGATTTGACATCGCCCCATCACCCACCCGTCCCGAAGCCGCCGCGTCACTAGTCCTCCCGCATCCATACTGCCGGTGCCCGTAGCCTCGCGCAAGCCATGCCGACCACTCTCCGAGCCGGTCGTTCCACTGTATAGTGCGCCTCGTCCCTCCCCACGTTCTTGCCTAGGACATGGATGCACCGGTCCCCAAGATCGCTTCCACGACCTTGTCCGACCTGTGGCCCAGGGTCGGCATCATGGCCGTTTGGTCGGTCTGACTCAATCAGTCGGGAAAGCCGCACGCGACTGGAGCAGGAAGGCCTAGCCGACGACCCTGCATGCTCGGAACCGGTGCCCACCGCGATGCAAAGCTCCCCGGCGTGTCGTCGAGGGCCATCCGGCCGGTGCAGGGATCAATCGTAGTTGGGGCGTATTCTCGATTGTTAAACTGGTTCAATGACACCACTCTGTCAGAATCAGGCGGTGTACCGCATGCGTATCGGGCAAAGACTGGATGCCTCTGGCGATGCTGCATCCCGTGGCCTTGGGCAGTCGATGTCACTGATGCAATTGGTGATGTGACCTCTCCAGATGTAGTCAATACCAGATTTTGTGGTTTGCTCCCTTGTCCATGGAGTTCTGGGCCTCACGGGGCGCCAGCTATTTGAGGTGTATATTAAGCTATCTTAATGTTTTTTCATTTTATTAAAGATTGGCGACCTGAGCAGTGGCAGTTGGCCCGTCTGCACCCAGGTGCGATTGTGGAAGTCCACCCACCAGCGCAGGGGGGTGATCACTTCCGGGGCACCCTGGAAGGCCACGACCGGTAGCGCGACCAAGGGGCCTTGTCGTGGGGCCCATCGGCCCCCGCTGGTTTCAAAGTGCTGGGGTCGCCACACCCTCCCACGCAGCCCCTGGTCTTGGGCTGCGCCTCACACCCCACTCACCCGGAATCCAAAAGGCGTGGTCCAAACTCCAACCGGTCCAAAGGACGAGAAACTCCTTGTGCCTCTTGCCACTAGGTCCTGCCCATCTCCGTTGCAGTAGCTTCTCCACATCGTAGGGTTCATCATCCTTAGGCTTAATCTCAGCGTTCTCTGTCTCTTGTGGGGTGGACCAGTTGGACGTTCTAAATGGCCGCAGCAAATTGGTGTGGAAAACATTATGAATTTTCCACCCCTGTGATAGCTTTAGCTTGTAAGCCACTGGTCCCACCTGATGGACCACAGCAAATAGACCCACAAAGTGTCGCTTCAGTTTGTGTACAGGTGCATTTTTCAATTGCAAGTGCTTTGTACTGAGCAGCACCTCTTCCCCACTATGAAACCTCTACTCTCTACG